ATGGGCAAAAGTTATGAGAATTGAGAAAGAGGTAAAATTGGTTAGCCAGGAAATGTTTGTTTCTTTTTACCTTTTTAATACAGAGATGTTTAGTTGATGTTAACCCCTTTACTATCAATTTATTTATGTTTTAAAAAATGGCTTGCCCTGTAGGATTATAATTTACAAAATACTCCAAGCACCATAGCTACTACAGCCTGCTATATTGTGTATTGTGCAAAGAGTGCCTGGTAGGAATGTGCATGGGCAAAAAAATCTATTTTGATTTGGAAATTTGGGTAAGTAAAAAAATGTGTCTGCAATTCGGACCAATGGCATTCGGTTCGGCACTTCAGAAATTCAGAAATTCAGAACTTCGTCAATTCGGAACTTCGGCAATTCAAAACTTCGGACATTCGTAAGCCTCCCTCTCTTGTTTTGCCACTTTTCAGAAATCCGAAGCACTTTGCCACCACAACCACTTACACATCTGTAGGACTCCCTAACCTTAAACCTCTAACCCTAATCCCTAACACTAACCCCCAAAACCACTTACACATTTATAGTGCTCCCAGTGCTTATTATTTGCTTATATAGGAATTAGCTTATTGGTCAAGATTTCTGTCATCATTCACGTAATTTTCCCTCCCTCTCTTGTTTTGCCACTTTTTAGAAATCTGAAGAACTTCAACACTTCGGAAATTCTGCAATTTAGTTCGGTGCGGCACTTCTGCAATTTGGAGATTCGGCAATTCGTAAGCGTACATGTCTAAACGAATTGCACATGTCTAGTGCCTGGCATCCCCCTATTGTAACCATTTAAACTGACAGAAACTCATAAGCCTTCTGTTAGCTCTTCAGAGTTAAGGCTAGCTGATTGGCTGAGAGTGTCATCTGATCGTCACGAGGTCACGAGCAAAACCCGCACCACTGTCTGAGACTGAAGAGCATCTGACTCTCTAGCTGATGGAGTGGAGATGGGGAGACAGGGAGCATCACTTGGTGGGCCCAAAGTAAAAAAGTCACATCATTCACTGTGCTGTTGTGGTTATGATGCTTGGAATGTTCAGAGCCTCCTTCCTCACTCCTTGCTGGCTGTTGGATTGGGATTTAGCCATTATTGTTCGCTATAGACCGTTTGGTGCAATTTAGAGTCTGTAATATGTAATTTGGAATGGTGTTAATGTAGAATCCTCTTAATTTCTTCTTTTCTTCAGTTGATTGCTATATATACGTCTTTTGTATATATATATTCTTGGGCCAAATGCTTGCCACAATAATATATGTCTATATTATTGAAAAGTAGTAATACGCAATCTGACTTACGGTTTCTTCAGGTTTATTCTTTGTTACGGATACATAATAAAACATAATAAATGATGTTACAGGATAATGTACATTCAACAGCAGATGGTAATTGCTGGACTTCTGATGGGAGAGTTACATCGTTGTACAGAGCCAAGAGCCAAGCCAAGACCCAAGCCAAGAGAGCGACCTCGTGTCCCTCTGTTACTATAAAGATGTGCTCATACTAACGTCAGCATTTAACTCTAGCCATATAAGGACAAGACCCCCACATCCACATTCCAGAGCTCTCGGACACAGAAAGCCTTGTGACTTATACCATCTGTTACTTATGTCAATCCACACATCCATATATAATCAATAGAAACATAGAATATGCAATATTCTAGAGAGTCCTTCCGCAGAAAAGTAGAGGGACAAAATGGAACTCTGGCAGAGATATGTGTCTCTCTACAGTAAAAATTTGTGCTAGAACAAAAGATGAAGGTAAGTGTGACTTAAATTTTGTTCTGCGCACTTTTTGGATGGAAAGGATTTAGTAACTACTGTTCTCAGTATGTAGTAACTTTTGGCACAATATTTCAAGCTTGCCTAGATTTTTAGACTTTTTGACTTCATCAACCATTTATTTCCAAAGCATGAGCAAGTTACATCTAGTAAAGCACAGAGGAGATGGCTCATAACTTTTGTGCAAATGAGTGGCAATGTAAATATTCGGAGTCTGAGTCCAAGACACACACTAATAACTGAGTGCGTATGTGAAATAAGAATTCTTGTTTTACATTTAATTTTAATAAATGCGACTTTGTGCTGTAACTGGGGACTGACTTCATAAAATACAACGTCGTAAAACTGGTGCTAAAAACTTGGTAGCACTTTGCATTTAAATGTTTTAATTCCATGAGTGATATTGTTGGTTAACAATCTTTATTATCTGAGGTTGAATAAAAGCAGGGATTAATGTCTGAACAACAAACCAACTATAAACAGACAAAACTTTTTTTGGATTGCTCTGGATAAAATACCTTAATTGTTTAGAATGTACTAATTAGTTCTGTTTTAAAATACTGCTGGATAAACACTGGTCTCTATGGCTGTTAATCACTTCTTCCCATAACAAACTCAAAGTCTCAAAAATTCATAATAAAGGAAAAGGTAATTCATTATTTATCAAAAATTCAGATTTTACAGAGGAAACACTGTTATAAATGGTCTCCGTGGACCAGTTCCATTTCTGTCTTGCAGCAATTTTCTAACCATAATTCTGCAGGGCGATGCTAATTTATTTGCATGTACACATCTGAACATCTCCTGGGTTCAAACGGCCAACAGTTAACAGGCCATCGAGTCTGGACATTTCTGGGCTGTATTTAATTATAGTGGCTCTATCATCCCAAACTTACCTTTCTTTAATTTCTTTCATTAAGAACTCTGCTTGACTGTATAGTACTGCTCTCCATCGAATTAGATCCTGTCGCACAGTCTGGGCAGAAGAAGGCAGCACTGCAAGTTATTAGAAGACGGTGGCACCTGGAATAAGGATTCAGCACAGTGAAGAATTAATAATAATAGGTGCTTTGCAGGGAAATTTGGCTAAATAGAGGGGATGGAGGGGCCTAAATAAAAACCCATAGACCCTTTAATCCCATTTAATTACTTTTCACTCAGCAGCCCAAGTTGAAAGAGGAGAGGCCACTCATCAGGCCTGTTCTGTTTTTTTTTTAAATTTTTTTACATGGTCTCAAAACCCCTTGTTCTTTTATTTATTTATTTGTTGATTTTTAATGAAGAAACCTGACTGATTCTCTTACGACATGCCTAGATCTCACAGACATTAGCTTGCTTCCCCTCCGCCCCCCCACAATTTTTTTTATACAGCTTATAGTGGCAAACAGTGACAAATCTAACTGTCTGCAGGTATAATTTAGACGCAGGGATAGGCAACCTTCGACACTCCAGATGTTGTGGACTACATCCCCCATAATGCTCTTACACCCATAATGCTGGCAAAGCATCATGGGCGGTGTAGTCCAAAACCTCCACGCATGATAACAAATATCACAGATCTTTAAACTAACTTCCCTTCGTAACTGATTTTAGCAGTGTTGCTACCATTGTAGCTCTCGGTGTCACTTTATTTTATAGCAATTGCTTATTTTTTTGACAGGTGACTATTTCATGTGTCCCAGAGCACCATAATGAACAAAAAACATGTTTGAACCTGAATGATGAAGATAACTGGGATTAAACTGAAGGTTTGAACAGCTTTGGTGTTAAACCTACTGAAAAAAAATATGTTGCAGTGTATATGATAAATATTAAAGGGACAATCTGGACCCCTGAAGCACTTTAGCTTGCTGAAGTCCTCTTTTTTTCATTTTACAAAAAGTGGAGATTTTAATAGAAATTGGCACATGTGTAACATTGTTACACCTCCCTGGCTGTCATCAGACAGCAGGTCCAGTTGATTCCTGGTTGCTTATTAAATGCATGCATGTTTTCATTTAGGGGTAAACATACTAAACAGCAATGGTATTTTTTTTTCGAATTTGGGCAGTGGAGTTTCCCTTTGATAATGACAAACAAATAAACAATCACTGTTGATTAATTGAGTAAAAAAAAAATCTACGTTGCCTTAGATACCATTTATTTTTTTTATTGATATTAAAATAACAAGTTGCGTTCCACTTCTTAAGTACTCTACTGGTTAAACGAGCCAAACTTTCCATGTATGAAATATAAATGACTCATTCTTTAAGGCATGGAGCACATTAAAAGCTTTCCACTTCAATGTGATATGAAATATATGAATTTTATTGTGCGATCCCCTTTGGATATAAGGAATTTAACCTTTAGATATCGTTCCTTGTAAATCCCGATTCTCCTAATGCTTATTAATACTTTTTCGAGATAGAAAACATGGGAAAGCCACTTTCAGATGCTTATACTATCTCTATTGTTATATGTATCTGGCAGCATTGAGGAACTAATTTAAATTACGCAGCAATCAAAATGTCAAAATTACGAAAAAAAATGAGTATTTCTTACAGTGGCATTTAAAGGTAATGGGAGCAGTTTTTACTGGGAACATATGTGTGGAATGAATGAAAAAAAATATATCTTACAATACATGTTTAACTAGAGGAGTGTGAGAATGAACCAAAAATACAAAGGACACTCTAGAAATCGACGAATTACACATTGTGATTGTCTGCCCGTGTATGTAATATGTTGGTTTTTACTGAAAATCTACCCAATTAAATAAAATAAAAAAATAAAAAATTGTGTTTTACAAGCTCAGTAGAATAAATAATAGCATTTTTATCCAGCTTGTTTTCTTCAGTAATGTTTTTAAAAATCTCCATTGGAAATCCACTTTACTTAAGCTTAAAAGTCTTGGATGTATTCTACGGTGGTGCATATCGATCTACCTGGAATTGTACACTAAAAGTGAAGAAATCGTTTACTTGTTACCATTCCTCTTTTGTAGGAAATCTCTGAAATCTTATCCACTTCTGGTGTCTATAAACTCATCCAGGAAAACAATGGAATATTACGGCCAATCCTTGTTTTCCTCTAACATTCATTTCCTAGCTGGTATCAATAAATAAATTTCTCTTTGTATATTTTATATGTACTAACATTAAAGCTAGAGATCGCTAACACACTGGGTGTTTACTGTTCACCCTTTTGACTCACTTTTATTAGTATATATTTTATTTTCCAGCATCTTTTAAAATTTACCTTTTTACTGTACTTTGAAAATACTCTACCACTTGAGAGGTATATTTAGCTTGCTGTATGGTATGACATCACACATATGCATGTTCAGTAACAATGGTGCTTATGTTTGTAGACGTCAGATATTTAAGTGTAAAAGCAAAAAAAGAAAAAAATTCTCATGTATAATAGGTGTGGCAAAACAGATACATTAAAATGGTCCAATACCTTGCTTATAGGCAATTGAAAAGACCATGAAGGCAATGCTACTTATTAAATATGACAACAGAATGTAAAATGAATGTCTGCATATGAGCATAACGGCCACATACAGTATTTAAAATGCTGTAGCAAATATTTATCAATGTCCGGAATGCTAATGTTATGCTAACAGTGAAAGGTTAGAGCCCATTCCCTTCTTCCCCCCTCCCTGACTGGATTAATGATATGACCCATGTAAACTTGCTTTTCTGTTTGAAAATTGGGGTGACCAGTCATTTTCAGTACACTTGCAGGCACTAATTAGTGACCAGTGGCTTCAGGTTTGTAATCATTCTTTGAGTATAAATGAAGGTGAGGGATATTTTATGGATTCAATTTCAAAATAAATATAAGTAAAAATTTTTATATTTGCCTCACCATTACCCCCCACACCAAACTAAACAGACGTGAAAAGACCAAAGCCGCAAATTACCCAAAACTCCATGCCCACAACTAAGAGGTACAGGACATACAGACCACAAGACTGGACCTAGCCACAGAAAAACCTCAAAATATAAGCAACAGGTCGCTACGAGAGGGCACTCCTTCCCCCCATCTCTTTAACTTCTGTACCCCACCCCAAACCCTAGAAGAAACAGGATTGCAAACTGTCACGAGAGCGAAAGAGAACACTGGACATGTAAATAAGCTAAAGATGTTACTGAACAACCTCCACTTGCACGTGGACAGCCAATACATTGTGTACAATATCTGAATGTGATGCATGCATGTACCACGAACAATACCCCCCTACTTTCTTTCTGTACCCCCACCCCGAAAACGTACACTATCTAAAATTCAAAATAAAGAATTTATAAAAAATAAAAAAATAAATGTTTATATTTGATTCAGGTACTTAAAGATTAAAATAGCATTAGCTCTGGTTACTTACTTGATAGCTTTAACCAAAGAAAAATGAGTGTGTGTATGAGCGTGTGTATGAGCGTGTGTATGAGTGTGTGTATGAGCGTGTGTATGCATTTGTCAGCAAAGAGGGGAGAAATACATTTCTATCCAGTACCAAGCTTATGCACCAGAATTCCAAATTTCAAAACACAATTGACCCAAAAGATCCCTATAGGCCGAATGATAATATTTAAACTTTAGTCATAAGTTTCTGCTTTTTGCCATTAATTATTTACTTCCATTACTGGCCTCTTAAAGTAATTCTAAAGTATGTGGGCTCATACACGTCATATACACTGTATCAGTGAAAGTCAGAAAAAGGTTGTACATTGTAACGTTACCTTCTGGCATAGCTTTCCCACAATTCCAACACACAAGGGATTTTCTATTGTCTGTTATAGGATGGGAATACAGCGTACTGCAAGTGTAATTATTGATAACAGAGCACTAGGCTCTGTGGATAATTTACCCCACATTAAGTGTCATTACCAAATGCTACACAGAGTAATGTTTATGTAATATTTTCACTATTAATGATGAATGTTTAGTTCGTACAAATCCATTGGCTTCTAATGTAAGGGGAACAAAGCTAAACGTTCGTTTGGGCAATAACAATAATTGGCATTCCGTGGCTGACTTTCCCAGGAATGCCACAGCGTGTGGGATGTCAATGAGTCTGATTGTCTTAGCTGCTATGAAAACACAATTTCAGCTCTAAAACGTGAAACTTAATTAACACTAACATTGCTGAGGGGTGATGGAGTGTTTGCATACACTGCCGGGGCAGAATTGTGACATTAGACTTACCCTGTGTTTGAACCTAATGTAATATTTTGATGTGTTCTGTTGAATAATACGGAGCGATTATAAATGTTAGGGACATTGTCATTTGAGAATGGCCTAATTATAACAAAAATTGTTCCCACATTGGAAATTACAAGAATGTAATCCTTTTCGGGAGAACATTACCTTGCAGTTGATTGTGATCTGATCAACATCAGTTATTTCTTACTAAAGGACTGCCACCCACCCCATGTGTTCCCTATTAAGGGTTAATAAGTGTGTAGTGCTCATAAGAATACCCATTTCTGTTTCAGAGAATTTGCATTTTAGCTAAAAGCAGTAAGGTGAAATATTAGTGTGGGACTCACCTAAAATGTTTTGCCTTGATGTGGCAGGTGAGTTTACACTTAAAAGGACATTGGAGTGACATTAAATCTCCAGTTATTTAAATTTGCGTAGGTATTTGGGATTGTGCGCAAGTAATTTTTTTTCTTTGGTTTTTATTATTTTTACTCTCAGGGTTGACTTCAGTTCTTTTTTGCCTTACACAGGGTGAGCCAAAATTCCGAGTAGGGTTAGAGCAGTGGTTCCCAAACTTTTTAGGTTCAAGGTGCCCTTAATATTTCAATATTTTTCCAAGGCGACCCAAGTCAAAGTTGCAGGGGTGTGTTTGAATTTAATGTTCACTTTTAAATGTGGATGTACATTTCTGTGAAGTATTTGTGTTTGAGTGAAGGGGTGTATTTGTATATCCTTTTGGAGTTTGAATGCAGGAGTGTGTTTGTATGTTGTGCTTGTTTATGACTGCTTGGATGTATGCACATACACACATACATACTTACACAGATCTACATACACACAAATTCATATAAACACCTTAACACACACATACACCAACATATACACACACACGAACCCTGACACACACAAACATTGACACATGCACACACCATAATACAGATACACACACTGATATAAAAACATACACAATGGCACACAGATGTGAGCGCACACACAGACACAGAAGTCCACTGACATATATATATATATATATACACACACACAGATGCACGACCTGACACACACACAGATGCACACTCTGACACACACACACGCACACACTCATGCACACACACACTCATACACACACACACGCGCACACACGCGCACACTCACACTCATACATACACACATATTTTAATATCTCCAGCCACCTTCCTGTTAGCTTACCTTGTGTGTCCAGGAGGGTGAGTTGGAGTCCTGCTGCTGCTGATGGCAGTGAGGGGTCTTGAGCTCTTCGTGATCCACTCCCCTCCTTCTGCAGTTGCCTCCACTTCCTCCCATGCTGTCTCCCTGCATGACTCTGGAAGGAAGCCTCTGACAGGCTGTCACTTCCTCCCATCTGGCCGACATTACAGGTGCCCGGTCACGGTCTTAAAGGACCACAGCCCCTGTTAAGCAGTAATGCTTATAGCACCGGGGAAACATTTTATGTCACCCCTGTGTTTTGTCAATAACTTTTTTTTATTAACCCATTTCAATGATATTGCATACAATGGATGCGTAATGTATGGACATTTGTTTGACTAGGTAGCCCCATCCTGTTGAAACCACAATTCCTACATTGGCGTGGCAGTCGTAAGCTCTATGTGTCAAAATAATGGACCTGCCATTTTGAAAATAAAATTCAACAAATTTTGCTCATTGTTCCTTCGTGAAACTACCCATAATGCTATAATATGTACCTGCAATACAAAAAAATTAACAACTAACAAATATGTTATTTACCTGTCAAATCCTATTCTGAATTTTGGCCCACCCTGTATTTCGCTTTCTGAGAGGCAAATCACAACATCTGGCAGACCCTCAACAAACTGTGATAACAATGATAACAGGTATAGTAATGGCACCTATGTGCCTGACTCTTACTGTATTGTCTCCATGCTTTACGGTATCATTGAATAGAACATTGAGAATCACTTTTAAAAGGAAACTATAGTGCTAGGAATACTTTTTATTCCTAAAGTGCTTCTCTCACTTGTCCCCCTCCCCTATGGCACTGAAAGAGTTAAAACCCCTTTTGTCACTTACCTGATTCAAATGACGATGTCACTTGGCACTATGTCAGGGTCTGGCTCCGCCGAAATCAGCCGGTGTGTCAATTTAATGTGAATGCACAGTGAACGTTGCTTTTGCATTAGGACTACCCCACAGAAAAGCATTTAAGCATTGAATCACTATAAAAACGTCTTTATGGACAGTGCACTTCCTTTCAGCGGTGACTACAATTTTTTTGTCAGAACCTCCCAAGTGTGCATGTTTTCTAGGAGCTCCATATTGTTGGCGTATCTGACTGTTTAACAGAGTTCCACAGACATAATACTCCCAGTAGTGTGTCTTTATACTACAATGTTTCTAGAAACCAGACGGTGTTAATAGGATACGTTGCACTTATTCTAAACTAAAATTGTTATTAGTAAGTCACCTAAAATTTATCAGAAAAGTTGCGCCCCTGGACAAACCTTCACTCACACCCCTAAGATTAACGTGTCCCTCTTTTTCTTTTCAAATGATGGTAGGTATGGAACAGGACAAACTCCTGATCTACACAGTGCTGAATAGTATGCACAATGTAGATGATATAGAATAACAATATTTAATATTGCTCTAAAATAAAGTAACAGGCTGACACATATATTAATCACGGTTTATTCTCAAACCTCTGAGCATTCCGTGCCAGCCATCCTAGCTGCAACATATTTCCAAGTTTGACTGCTGCATGTTAGATCGTTCCCACATCAAGGAACTCGAAGCAGCCACACATTTGGCACTGTTTGTCTAGGAGATGAGTGGATACTTGTGATGTAATATGTCCCATGTTGACATATACACAAGATCAGAATGGGGTTTACAGGGAGGAGAGATGATTGACCATCAATCATTAAGGTTATTATAATAGTGATTTTGCCAATACCTGCAAAAAGGCAGCAAACTATGTCAAAGTATAACATTAACACCATCATTTCAAATTTCCTGTAAACAAAAGTAGCTTTTAATGTAGTAGCCACTGGGTCTTTGTGCAGGTGTATGACGATATCCTCCGTAGCATGTAGAGGCCTTGAGTTTGCCCTTAGGGTTGTTTTAGTGCTGGGCTTAGTGCTCCTTTAATTTCAGGACAACATTGAGGTATATATCATGGTCTGGGAGAGATTAGTGTGAGTTACAGCTATTTGCAGTTGCATCCACTTATATTAGTAATGGTAAAGGAGTCTGTGCGTTATGTCTATCCAGATTGCATGAAACATTTGTATCAAACTTGGCATCTACAGCCCAGATGCTTGCCTACAGTTTGGCTAATGGAGAAGTAAACATCTGCATTATCTTAACCAGTTGAATAGGGTGGGTGCAGTGGGGGGGCTGGGAGTGATTATCATACATGTCTGAGCCTATCATTAATGTC